CTCTCTCTCTCTCTCTCTCTCTCGACGAAAAGCAAAAAGATTTGACCAGCTGTGGTGATTCTACTGAAAAATATGGTGTTTTCCGAAACACCTAGTCCATGACGACACAACTGACGCACAAGTGATCCGAATTATTCGTTTATTTGCAAACAAATAAACCGATTTCTTGAGCAAGTGAACCTTTCTCGATGATAAACAGCATAGAATCAAAGCACAGGTTTTTAAAAAAAACCACGAAAATACTAAATTTTGGACATTCTTGGAAGTTTGCATTGGTGTGCTCAAAATGACAGTCCAGGAATCACAAAAAAAACGAACATTTTTGGCACAAAATTTACAAACTCAAGATTGTAAAGCTGACACGGGGTCTGGAACTGCTAATGCAGGTTCTACATCCTATGTTTGACATGTGTATAAGTTTTGGAGGAATAAATACTAATGCATCACATTTTATGCACACTAATGTGAGATGTATGAGTTTTTCCCCATGTTTTGGCAATGGCTCATGTACCCGGCAATTTTGATTTATGACAAAATAAAATTACAAAATGGACGGTAAATCTGACTGCAGAAATAATTTTTCCACCGAAAGGCACATTAGGTAGCCAAGTTTCTTTCAAACGCTCCTTTTAATTAATGAGTTGTCAGCGATTTTCTTACAGAATCTGTTGTTACATGGTCCATTTCAGGAGTATTTCTCTATTTGTGTCATCCATGTTTAGCCAAACTTTACAACCCTATAACTTTTATTTTTATGAACCGATTCTTTAAAAAAGAATAATGCTCAGAATAGAAAACCCTGTCTTGGGTACCAAATAGAAAAGGGTTCATTCGGAAAATTAATTTTTCATTGGCATTGCTACTTAACGACCCCCAGACATTGCCATTTCAACATATTGATAAAATAAAAATTATTGACAGGGCTGAGAAGTGTCCGCCTAAAGGCGGAATTCCGCTCATTGCAACCCCTCCGTCCGCTCATCCGAACGCCTCTTCCGCCTTTTTTCCGAGTTTTATATTATAATAATAGTGTAGTAAGGGCGAATGCTAGGCCCTGGGAATTTGATAAAAATCGCCGAGACCCGGGAATTTGAGGAAATCTGTAAACTGCCCCAAAAAATGATGAAAGTGAAGAAACTGGCATTTTCTCGCAGGTTTGGGGAATTTTTGTTTTTGGGTTCAACTCCTTTCATGCTCTTTAAAGAACACATTTCTGTTTTGGATTTTACTGAAAAATGTTGAATAAAGGCATAAAAGGTGTAAATGTTTAGTTTCCCCAAAGATAGTAAATAACAAGATGGGCCACTCAGCCAAAAAAGTGTCCGCAGGAAGTATGCTCTTTGCTTCAGATGGCGCTGCAGTCTGTTTTGAAGCTCTCTTTCGTTTTTCCAGAAGAAGAATAGGAATAGCACCTCCTTGCGTGCGCAGATCGACTGCTGTTCATCAGCAGTACGGGTTCGTTCAGTACAGAGTTTTAGTTTTTTTTTAATTTTTAATGACCTCTCGCCTTTCATTCTAAAGTCAAATTAAACGAAGAAAACAATCACCCTTTCCTCCGGAAGAGGTTTTTTGTCAGCGTAACCATTCAAAAAAAGCGTTCTTCCGAAATTCATTAAAAAAACTTGCTAGTTTCACTCTGATTTTTTAAACTCAAGTAGGATAACTCTGTTCGCAAAAGGTGCGCTTTTGTGAAGAGGGCGCCACCGAATTTTGAGGACACTTTTTTAATTGGCTCAAAGAGAGAAGTGGCCCATCTTGTTATGTACTATCTTTGGTTTCCCCAGACTCACAAGTGAAGGAAATAACAGTGGCGGCCATTTTCTCACAAATTTTACCTCAGAAACTGGGCGACCCCTCCTCCTTCAATCGCCTATAACTTGACTTGTATACAAGATAAATGGATATTTTTGAAAGTCAAAAGCAAGGCTAATGAACTGGCTTGAAGAGATGATACCAATAACTCCATATGTCCCCAAACTGATGAGCACCTGATTCCACGGCGTCTTGATACATATTATATGATAGCTGTCACAGTCTTTTTGTGGTTTTATGATTCAATATGCCCCAGAACTGTCAGGCATCTATGGTTGTTTGGTGAAAAATAGCTCATGCTCAAGTAAGTTAAAAGTTCCTTTCATTATTAACAAGGAGTGCTCAGTGCATAAAAGGAACAATGATCATTTTTTTAAACTGTTGTAATATACAAAATACACAGATTGTGTTACTTGTTACATTATCACGAACTATTTAGTGACAACAATAGATTTGATGTGCTCTCAATCTTTCTCTGAGTATGTCTTTTCTAAGCCCTCCTCTCCAAGCAAGTTTTTTTTACCCCCGGGTCTCTTTTACTGCATTTTGCTTCTCCTTCCACTGTCCGATGGGATGTCTAAAATGTGTTTAATTTGCTTTTTCAGGAAGATGTTGAGGAGTTCATGAAGAAAGCAGAAAATGAATCTGCAGAGTCTGTTTTGAAACGGCAAGAGGAATTGCATCAGAAGTTCAAGTTTATGGAGTATAATTTGAATATGAAGAAATCAAGGTGGGTGTTGTCTTGATCTTGACAACAGTTCTAAGTTTGACACAGGGACACAGCTTATTTCCTGTGGGGATAGAGCATTGTATGAATTCTATTTATTATTACTACTATCAGCATTATTATTATTAAACTTTTAGATTATTTCTTTTTATCATATTTATTATTTTCTGCAATTTTCTTTACATATGGCTTTTCTTTTCAGTTGTATATACAGTCGAACCTGTGTAAGACAGAATCGCAAGGGAGCCAGAAAAAAATTCCATCTTAGAAGGGGGAGAATTTAGGGAGAGGTGGGGGGGGGGTCAAAGGCCCTGCTGGTGGGATCAAGGATCGCTTGTCTGATCGGCAAGCAGTGGTCAAAACTTCACACCTCTCAGCTGCTATCATGTCTGATAATGACATGCGTCAGTCTTACTTATCTAATTACCACCAGTGCTTGCCTTTCATAGGACCACTGTTTGGCCTATTTAAAACAGAAACATTTGAACATCTCCTTTGCCCCCACCCATCGGTGTAAAAAGCACAGTCAAGCTATGCCACCCTTCGCTGCCATGTAACAACGATTCGAGGAACTCTTTTCTCGACTCACCGTACGATCAGGTGTTATTTCACACCTCTTGCTTCTGGCTACCCAGGAAAGTTTCCGTAGTGGCTTGCTACTCGAGTACTCTTACATGAAGTCGTGAGATTTCACACCCACATTACCCTGACCATCTGCATCGCTCAGGGCTCACATGATGGGGTAACATCTTCCCCCGAATTGCACCCCTACTCCTCTTCCTCGCCCAGCGGCATGGCCATACCGTTAAGTTTAGAGCTGGCATAATCAAACTTGTGAGTTTTGTTTAAAATCAGGGTTGAGCGGGCAAAGCATTTTCCGTCTTACACAGGTGAAAGCCTCGGAAGGGAGCAGATTTTTCTTTCCGTTTCCACGTTGGACAGGTTTCCGTTTTATACAGGTAATTAAAGAGGAATATATCAAGTGAGGAGCTCGGAGATTCTGTTAAGAGATGTTTCTATTGAGGTAGGTACGGTTCGACTGTAATTCATTTTAGTAGGCCCTACATGTGGAGTGGCCTTTTATAAATTCCTTTTAATTTTAACAATTGGTCGTAAATGGTAGTAAATTTGCCGTGATGGTAGTAAACATTTGGTAAACGGTTGTAAATTAGCCTGCAAACCGAGTGATGAAGCCAGCAAGACTTCAGTGAACCCTAGCCACGGTACATGACTCCATTTTTGCCGGTCGCAATTGTGATATAATATTCATTCACCTTTTCCCCCCTCCGAGAGTACGTTTCACGGGAAAAGATGGCGGCAGGCGGAAGTGTATGTGACACCGAGGCTCAATCGGGAAAATCAAGATCTACTTTCGCTTTCGTTGCCATCCAGAATTTTGCCACGCCATCCAGAATTTTGCCGGCGATAGACTGATAACGCAAAATTTGTGACGTGCAGGTTGTACAGTATAAACGCTGTGTCGCCGTGCAAATAAAAATTAATCAATACTCGGACTCGTCACCATGCTGTCACTTGTGGGAAAAAAAGAAAAGAAAATACAAGTGTCTTCCGATTTTTAGATTGTCGCGTTCGTCATCGTGACCGGTCAGTGAACCTTCATTCGAGGCACCACAAGATACGGCTTCAGTGAGCACTGGCATTTGTTGGGGTCCCCAAAGTTCATTAAAAGTCTGAGCGTTGCGAAGTATAGGACTACGGAATGGGGCCGGGATTATTGATTTTTTTAAAGAGATACGCTGGGGGGGGGGCTGAACTGAAGGCAACACCAGAGGACAAAAATTTGTTAGCAAATTTCAGAATTTTTATTAGATTTAGAGCCCTCTGCAAAGCACGCATTGGTGCAGGCCTTGTGTGGAATCGGGATCCTTCATACTTTGTAATTGTGAGTCGTGTTATTGAAATAAAGTGTTCGCGTTTCATTGGTTGGGTGATAGTAAATTAGAACACTATTGTAGCTTTCTGTTCAAGACTGGCAGATTTTCAGTGTCACTGCCTCTTGCCCTCCCACAGTTCTTACATCTCTCACATTGAATAGGTCTACTTGAGCCATTCAAGTTATTGCTCTACTTTTAGTTTGAGCAATAATTTTTGTCTTTCACGTTCATAATATGAGTCATGACAACCAGACTGGTTCTTGACAGTAGAAATTCTTGTTCAAGGCCCCTCTGAATACTCAAAGCAGAATTCATTTTTTTAAAATATATAATAATGAGAGGAAAATATTATAACAGACTGAAATACTTAAGTCAAACAAGACCCCAGTGTGGCTCTGACATGTTGTTGACTGGATGTATTTTACATGTGTGTTACGTAACATGGCCCTGGAAAATGGATGACCCCCTGGAAAATTGAGGAGCTGGTTTGGAGGGTACACATTAGGTCTAAATCTACCCTCCCCCTCCCACCACCACTAGGGCAGTGCTACTGACTGAAGCGTCTTTAGGCCATTCTCAAAGGGAGGATTATATTAACATGTTCTTATGCACAGTAGAATTGTAAATATGGGCTGATTTATCAATGTCATGCTCATACTGTGCTGGATCAACATAGGGGGAACTGCTGCTTTTTCTGTCCTCTTCTTTACTATTGTCATTTTCCTCTACTTCTTTTGTATGTTTGTCACTCTTGTGAACTACTATTTACGGGGTGCCTTGATAGTCGAAGCTTGATTCCCCGTTTGGACTTCTCTGTTGACATCCACTCCTTGTTTCTCATATGACCTGCAATTGCAAGTGCCGTAAAAACCTTACTAAAACTACATCTAGCGGCAACAAAGCTTGCGATCGTCTGTCTATCCTCCATTTTGTGGACTGGACTTTGTTGTGTGTTGTTTTCGTTCCGTATATTATGTAATAATAATATATGTTATTGATGGCGCAAATGAACTCCCTTTTTCGAGCTGGTGTGAGGCTTGATTTGCTGGGTAGTAAAAAATTTTCCAGGTAGTAAATTTTTTCAGGAAATATTGCTGGACACCCTGAATTTTGTTTTGTACTGTGCTTTGTTTTTGTGTTGGTATTGAATTGTAACGCGTGTGTGCACTGCTTTTAACAGGCTTTTTTATTTAGATTCTGATTGGAAGTGTACAGACAAACATTATGATTTCCAAAGACAGACTGACATGACTTACCCTTTTTTCATTTTTAGCTTCAGTATTATTGTACTTTCCTGCGTGTCTTGCTCAGCATCAGGTTATATAGGGTTACAGAGAGAACTTTTTTAAAAATGTACTGGTAACATGTTTTGGCCAACAAGCTCTTCTTGTACAAAGTTAAGATGAAAACTTAAGTTTTTGTTCTTTTTTAAATAAATATCAGTTTTACAGAGCCCATCTGGATTGCAAAACTAAAGGAGTCTTCTTTGAAAGAAAATGTGTTCTTTTTTTAACATGTGATTTTCTGACATTTTTCACCACAGATTGAAGAATCAAGTTCCTGATGTTAAAAGCTCCCTTGATATTGTGAAGCATCTTAGAGTTAGAAAGGTGAGTGTTGGTGTGTGGACAATTCATACGGTCAGTTTTTAACAGGTTTAAGGCATTAGTGTCTGTTACGTAATGGTTAGACTCTTTACTGTTAAAAGGAGAAGGCATTGATCAGATTCCCACTTGGGGGTACTATTTTATCATGTATCTCTGTATGTCTGCGGAAGTGCTGTAAGTGTACAGCAGGCGCCACACTCATAACAGGATTTCAGCCTGAACAAGCTTATAATAAATCCCAAAGTCTTTTTGTCTCAAAGTTGCCACAAAAAATGGCAAAAGTTGCCATTATTTTTAAGCTTTCAACTCTCTGACGACGCATATAATACCAGTATGTAGATAGAGGTAACTCAATCTAAAGCATCAGATTTCTTGTGCTCTGTTTTAAGCATCTAGAATATCATTTGTAGCCACACAGAGTGTGAAAACGTGAAAAATAAAGGTTTCACAACAGATTGAAATAAAAATTAGAACAGCACATAAACAACCACAAAAAATTAACAAATAAGGGCGCGTGTCCACCTATCTGAAGATTGGCCGTTTTAACCCTTAACATGTGTAAAATAAGAAAGAGTGCTGGATATTACATGTTAATTATGGAATCACACACAAGGGGCCTGTCAGTGTCAGTATTCAGTTTTGGTGGAGACACTCTTTAACATAACCCTTTTATATATTTTTTTAAACATTAGGAACAACATCAAATTAAGGGTGGCTCTCGTGGCCTGGAGGTTAAAGTGTTCGCTTCTCATTCAAAGATCGCAGGTTCAAATCTGGGTAGGGACAAAAAAATATCTTCTCTAAAAAATAGTTTCCTTTAACCTCCTATCCTGCTCTCCAACAATGTTCTGTCATCTGCTTTTGTCTCCACGTTCTGCCCCATCCTCAGGGCTCCTGACTCTTTCTGCAGCCTTTCTACTGCTACTCATTGGCTCCTTCTTACTGCTGTCTTTCAGCCACATCCCTGATCTTCTGGTAGGAAATATCTACACCTAGCCCTCTCGGACAAGGGCGAAAAATCTCAGAGGTCCTAGGTGCAAGTGCGCATATTAAAGATCCCTTGGTGTTTTAAAATCGATAAAAGTAGGCTTCAGCCGCCGGCTGGGCAATTCAAAATTTCCTACCAACTAAAAATGTTTGGTGTTTCCTGATTGGTCGCATGCAGTCGGCTAAGGGAATAATGGTTCACCATGCAGGTGCAATGGATATGGTTGCCGGGAAAAGATCAAGTTCGTTGTGGGAGAAAAATGAGGGAAGCCAGGTCTGCAGGGGCTGTTCACCCTGAAAGTGACCTCGTTGAATCCGAGCTTGTTGATTTAAGTGTTCGTTGAGTTTTATTGATTTTAAAATCCCCAGTTACTGTGCAGTGTGTAGAAGCTGTGACGTTAGATGCACAGCACAAAGCACTAGGTGACCTTGATCAAGTTCAAAATTGACAACCAATAATTTTTTTTAAAAATTATTTAAAATTATGTTTGTTAAAGTTCAGATATCGCATCAAACCAGGCTCTTCACACACAACAGCTTTGCTTATTTTGAAAGGCTTATTCCGAAAATGAAATTAGATTTTAAATGCGAGAGTTATTTTTAAAAATTTGCTCGCAAAGTTAAATCTGACACAGCGGCATATATTTTTTTAAGGGATTCAATGTCCTGGTTTGTCTCTCCCATGTATGAAGTATGTCCCGTTTGATAGCTTTTGGCTGGTCCCCTTTGCCGACATTGAAATTCATTACAGGTTTAAGTGTTTGCATGTGAAAGTTGTTGTTTTTAAATTGAGACCTTATTTACCGAAGCCGCAAAAGGACAGTATGGAAGGAGGGTATCTCATGCTGCTATGCACGTCATATGACCTAATGTATATTTTTTTTAACTTATTACGAATGGGTTTTGGGGGGGGGGGGGGGGGGGGGTTTCAGGAATAATTGCCTTTGCTGATGAACCTGAATGGGAACAACTTTTGTCTGGGATCCATTTGTCATAATGTTTGGTTAAAAATGGGTCTGTTTAAATATTGTGATTTTAAGTGGTGAACGACATCACTTATTATAGCTTACAGCTTTTTTGTCTCATAGAAGCCTACTGATTTCTAAAAATTTTACATTTAGAAAGTGATACTCTTTATGTGTTAAAAGTTTACTCATCATTTTGTAATCTACTCCTTGAAGTGTTTTTGATTTGTTAATTCACGGCCCTGCAAGAGGTAGGGCCCCCTCCCCCCCCCGATGTTTGCTTTGGCTATAGAATTGTTTTGATGTGTTTTACGGGGTCCACTTGTTTTTCTTACGTTTTCTCTTTGTTTTCATTCTTGTCACAGGATAATACAGAGCCCTTCTCCACAAGATTTCTGTTGTCAGATAATGTGTATGCAAAAGCTGTTGTGCCACCCACTGAAAAAGTTTGTCTCTGGTTAGGGGTAAGTGCGCTCGCTATAATTGCTGGAGTGTTTGTCAAGATAGAACAGTAACAAGAGCTATGGTTTGCCTTGCAGAATGTGTGAAAAAGTGGATAGTGTGCCGTTCATGTGATCTTGACAAACTCTAAAGATATTTTTGTATTTTTTCAAGAAAAAAAAATCACGTGGTATTTTGGAATGTTTAGTTGTCCTTTCTGGGTAGTTTGTCTGACCGTGACACAATAGCTACAGTTTAGAGTTGGACAGTAATCATTTTGCACTGTCTGATAGACTTAGGCCTTTTCGTTTTGTATTCCTGGAATTCTGTTTCCAGTATAACACGGATAGCTCAAATTCATCAGGACCGGCCTCGGAAGTTCGAGAGATCTATAGTTCGAGAGATATTTTACAAAGATAAAGAAGAAGAAGAAAAGAAAAAAAAATGGGACTGCGGGCACAGTTCGACGGATACATGATTTGGAGTCTCCTGTGTTTGACCTATCCATTTTATACTGTATGGTCTTGTTTCTTCTTGTTACAGATTGAATAAATGTAATACTATACCAATTACTACAGGAGAATTTGCAAGGTTTCTCTGGAAAAAAGTGAAACATATAACTCATGGAGAAGAGAGAAATGATTTAGGAATTGAATGGGTAGATATGATCTCCTAAAATCATTTGCTCACTCTGGAATCTCCATTTGTATATTATGGGACAGGACTTAATAAAATTGGAATGAAGGCTGTCAAAAGAATGAAATAAGAACTTTTCTCAATTCTAAATCAGTTTGTTTAGAGGCGTAAGCACTGTTTGGGAGTGGGGCTGCATCAGCATTTAGCTGTCAATAAGTATGTTATGTTTCAAAATGTTCTTTCATTTCGCTGTTATCAACACTGAAATAAATTATAAGGGCAACATTTGAAGCATTTTTTGTTTTTACGTATATATATATTTTCATGCACTTTTCTTGTCCTTGTCTAAGGATTGTACTTTTTTGTTTTTATATTTTTGTCTTTTTTTTTTTGCAGGCAAATGTAATGCTGGAGTATGAAATTGAAGAAGCAGATGAAGTATTGGCAAAAAATTTGGATGCTGCCAAAAAATCTCTCAGTCAAGTGGAAGATGACCTTTTATTTATTCGTGATCAAATGACGACGCTGGAAGTCAGTATCCTTTGCCGAAGTTGAAGCAACAATGCCTTAAAATGGGGGGAGGGGGGTGGTGGTAAACTGTTCATGTATCTAGTAAATACTTATTTATGCGATTACTAATAATTTATTTTAGACCTGCATGTTTGCCGACAATCGTCTGAAATCCGACAATCGCGACCCGACCCGCGAACCGGCCGATGCTATCGATAGGCCCGCCTAGTATCAGTCAATGTGCGTAGTGCGAGGCCTGGCCGACTGCCAGCGACCCCTTTTTCTCCCGCCGGCTTCGTCGGCACTTTCGTTTTCGTGCCGACCGTCGACGCGCGCACCGCCGACTGCCGACGTCGGCGTTTCCGACATAATTGTCGGAACCTAAGTAGAAATGCGAATACGAAAAAGGACGACAACTTAAATTATCTACTTTCAGTTTCGTGCTCGAGCGGCCATTTTCAATTTCGTTTGTTGACTAATTCAATTGTTCAGATCGTGTGGGTTCATTCACGTCCGACTCTCTTGTTCTAATAGAATCTAGATCTAGATTTATATAGAGATCATTATAGACCTCAATGGAGGATTCATAATCCAATTCTATTGTGTCAAACCCTATCATAGGTTGTGCTGTAATATTAATATTGGTAAAAATAAGCATTTCATCAGGTGCGTGAATTATTTATTATTATTATTATATTTAGATCTATAGTCTAGATTCTAGATCTAGATCTAGTTAGATATCTAGATATAGATCTAGATCTAGAATCTAGACTCAGCTGAGTCCCTCTGTTCGGAATCGGATGCGGATTTCTAGTTCAAAGCCTAGAATCTATTCCTATTCACTTGTTCTTCAGGATCTAGATCTAGATTTTTCTATATCTAGATCTAGATCTAGATTTATTTTTTAGATTACTAGTCTAGTAGATCTAGATATCTAGATCTAGATCTATAGTCTATATGGAGGATTCATATTCCAATTCTATTGTGTTATTGTATCAAACCCTATAGCAATGTAGATGTAAGCCATATTGATAAAAATTTAGATCTAGATCTAGATCTAGAATCTATATGCTCCTTGTTTGTTTTGGAGTGTGGTTTTTTAATTAAATTTTTTTTTTCATTTAGTACTTGTTTTGGCCTTTTTACATGCGAATCCCTTTAAGATGAGGCCCGATGCAGGTTCTTTTTGGGGTAGGGTTAGGGTTAGGTCTCTTCTTTATTGTGTTTGTTGGGGTGGTCGCTCGTTACTCGGATGTCCTTCCTTATGACACCCACTAAGGCTTTTTTTTGGGGGGGGGGGGGGGGGGGGGTTGCGCAAAATTTTCAGACAATCTGGTTCGGTGTGGCTTGCTCCTTCTTACCTATCAAACATCTATCATCCTTATCTCTCCTTCTTCTTTTCTTTTTATGCTACTTTCTAGTAAAACCTTTAATTAAAAAAAAAACACCCTAGTCTTCGGCAGTTGTATGACCTATTTCTGTTGCAAGTGATGAAAACTGTTACCGAAATTTAAAAACCCTGCCGCTTCCTGTTCAGGATTTAAGGCTGTTAAACGCATGCTACTCCCAGTAATTATGGCAGTAGTTTTTTTTTTCTGACGGAGGCTAAATGTGTCGTGCATGGCGTACAAACACCGCTATTATAGTTGGCTCGGCGATGGTGTGACCGGGTCATGGCGGGCCGGTCACCCAGAGGTCACTAACCCGACCTCCCGCTACCTGCACCGGTAGCCGGTGAAATGAATTTTTCAACACATGTTTTATCGTCTTACACAAACAAAAAATATCATACATGAAAACAAGTTTGTTCTGTAGAGAAAGCAACTTAACTACTTTATTGGTACGAAATAGCAATGCCATGGCTGCTCACGTTATGGAGTTATATGCTCTTAAAATGTATGTCTATTTATAGTTAGTCAAAACAACAAACACATATTGAGTGGCTAATAACTTATAATATACCTGCATGTTTGCCGACAATCGTCTGAAATCCGATAATCGCGACCCGACCCGCGAGGCGGCCGATGCTATCGCTAGGCCCACCTGTATCAGTCAATGTGCGAAGTGCGAGGCCTGGCCGACTGCCAGCGTCCCCCTTTTCTCCCGTCGGCTTTGTCGGCACTTTCGTGTTCGTGCCGACCACCGACTGCCGACGTCGGCGTTTCCGACATAATTGTCGGAACCTGAGTAGAAATGCGAATACGAAAAAGGACGACGACCTAAATTATCTACTTTGTTTCGTGCTCGACCGGCCATTTTGAATTTCGTTTTGTTGACAAATTCAATTGTTCAGATCGTGTGGATTAATTCCAGTCCAACTCACTTAGATTTAGATTCTAGATAAATAGAATCTAGATCTAGATCTAGATCTAGACATCTAGATCTAGATCTAGATCTAGACATCTAGATCTAGATCTAGACATCTAGATCTAGATCTAGACATCTAGATCTAGATTTATATAGAGATCATTATAGACCTCAATGGAGGATTCATATTCCAATTCTATTTTGTCCAACCCTATCATAGGCTGTGCTGTAATATTAATGTTGGTAAAAGGCATTTCATCAGGTGCGTGAATTATTTATTTATTTAGAATCTAGACTCAGCTGAGCCCCTCTGTTCGGAATCGGATGCGGATTTCTAGTTCAAGGCCAAGGCCTATTCCTAGATCCTATTCACTTGTTCTACTAGATCTAGATCTAGATTTATTTAGTTTACTAGCTCTAGATCTATATATGGAGGATTCATATTCCAATTCTATTGTGTTACTTATTGTATCAAACCCTATTATTATAGATCTAGCAATATATATGTAGATCTAGATGTAGGCCATTATATTATGCTCCTTGTAAGCCTTGTTTGTTTTGGAGTGTGGTTTTTTAATTTTTAATTTTTTTTTGTTTTGACTTTTGCTGGCCTTTTCACATTAGGCTCGTTGCAGGTTCTTTTTTGGGGTAGACGTAGGGGTAGGGTTAGGTCTCTTCTTTGTTGTGTTTTTTGGGGTGGTCACTCGTTACTCGAAAGTCCTTCCTTATGACTTATGACACCCACAAAAGCTCCTTGGGGGGGGGGGGGGGTTGCGCAAAATTTTCAGACAATCTGGTTGAGGCTCACATGCAGGTCTATTATAAATATTCACAAAACTGCCACATAAGACTGGAAAATGTGTTTAGAAATTGACTCCCTCAAAATTTTGTTTCCAGCACGAACATAGAACTTGTCATGAGCATGATAGCAAAAACGCTTCCCTGCATTCTTGACTTTTTGTATCCAATGGAATGTGTATCCTCCTGAATAATGATATACTGACGTTTCTTCAATATACAGCACCGATTTCTTTTCACAAAATGAACATGTACAGAATAAAAGTATAAATTTATACAATTTTTTTTCTAAACATATCCAGAGGGCTCTTGTGGCCTAGAGGTTAACTCATTCGCTGAGCCGAGCCGTGGGGGCGGCGCGGCTCAAGTGCCGTCAGTACGCTAAGCCGCCCCCGGCGGCTCGAGAACCGACGTTCAATTTTAGCTTGGTTTCTATTCCAATCCACATATCCATGTTAAAATAAAGGTCATAATATAATGTTGACTTCCGGGTCAAGCGTTTCCACCGAAAATCGGAAGTTTTGATTCAGTTTTGAAACATGATTTCGTAGTTTATTCGACTTTGTTTTATCGCGAAGCCCAAATTATAGCCCAGGCACCAGTCTTAGTACTTTAACACAACAAAATGTATCATTATTTTGCTCACTAAAGAAGTGTTGGACTCTTCTTTATAATATTGATACTATTGGACGCAAATTGCCGGTGCACTCTAATTGAGAAATCAATATTTTTGAGTGCTAGATCTAGGCCTAGATCTAAATAGTCAAAATATTTTTTTCTCCCCAAAATCGCTACTTTTGGGTGAAATTAATCAAAAAGTACCACTCAAGACATGTATAGGTTTATTCCAAATGCAATTCTGAATAATTCCATATAAGTTACGCGTATTTTTTTCTGTTTGTGATCCTTTTTTCAAAATTTTTTTTTTTTTAATTTTTTCCAATATCGGATGCTTTGATCCAAATGTACAAATATTATGGAATGTATGTAAATAACTGCACATTTTTCAATATTTTCCTGTTCTATATACAGTTATGGTTATTTTGAGGTATCATTTGACTAGGTGCAAACATATTTTTTTAGTTTCACCTGAGATTATAAATTTTTTATTTTCCAATTTTATCCGCATCCAATCACAATTGTGTTGCATAATCGCCTCTTACAGGAACCAAAGTTGAAAAATACGCAAATAGATCATGCAGATGTATTCTACAAACCATACTGAAAATGTGGGTATATAATATGTTGATATTTATTTGAATTTATGGCCCCAAAGACCTGTGAACTGCGCACTAGTCATCATCTCATTTCGCCCTCCCGAAAAGAATTCGTCCACAAGCCGAAAATAATATGTAGCGAATGAGTTAAGGTATTGGCCTCTCATTCAAAGGTCCCGGGTTCGATTCCGGGTAGCGACCAAAAAATTTTCTTCTCTAAAATTGTCTCCTTTCACATCCTTTCCTGATCTCTAACAATGTTCTGTTGTCTGCTTTCATTTCCACTTTCTGCCCCCACCCCTTCACCTCCTTTGCCCCCTCCTCTGGGCTCCTGACTCTTTCTGCAGCCTTTCTACTGCTACTCCTTGGCTCCTCCTAACTGCTGTCTTTCTGCCACACCCCTGATCTTCTGGTAGGAAAGATCTACACCTAGCCTTCTCGGACAAGGGCGAAAAATCTTGGAGGGCCCGTGTGCAAGTTGCGGACGTTAAAGATCGCTTGGTGGTCTAAAATCGATTAGAGTAGGCTTCGGCCGCCACCCGGGCAAAATTCAAAATTTCCTACCAACGAAAAAGTATTAGTGTGTCCCGCGCGCTCATATGACCTTATGCAGTTGCGAGCGCCGTAAAACCCTATACTAAACAAAACAAACCTATCCAGCAGCACGCAATGAGGGAGCTTTGCATAGCTGTCTGTCAAAATGATTTTTTGAGAAATACTGAAAGTTTCAAAGAGATCTTCGCACTAGAAGTATTCTAAAATGTGAAGAATACAACCCCTGGGGTACAAAATGACTCCAGGCGTACGGATAGGGTTAAGAGATTCTAGCAATTGTCTTTGTGATTCATGTCACCGAGGTATTTTTTTTTCATCTTACAGTTATTAAATTGTTTGTCGCTAGTAGGAGAGCAGCACTCGTTGGTCCTACTTCTTTTCTCTCCATTTTTTTTCTCTACGTATTTCTTGCTTTTTCACTGTACTGAATTACCATTATGGTGTCCATGTCCTTCACTTTACTCCAACTAGGTTAAGGCTATAATGTTCTCTTTTAAATCAGTTCCTTCTGTCCTGTGTCTGACCCTGGTGCTACTGACTGAAGTTGTCTTTAGGCCATTCCCAAAGGGGGGATATTAACATGTTCTTATGCACAGTAGAATTGTAAATCTGCTGATTTATCATTGTCATGCTCATACTGTGCCGGAACAGCATAGGGGGAACTGCTGCTTTTTCTTTCCTCAAACTTATTATCGTCCCCATTTTGCCTCTACTTCTTTTGTATGTTTGTCACTCTCTCTAGTTAACTGCTATTTCCGGGGTGTTGAAGCAGACTTGTGCTGTTTAGGCTAGAGATGTGAGCAGGTAAGCCCGATTCCCCGTTTGGACTTCTCTGTTGACATCCACCCCTTGGCGCTCATATGACGTTATGCAGTTGCGGGTGCTGTAAAACCTTGCTAAAACGAACATGTCCTGTGTCTAGCTCTCTATGGTGCTGGTCTGTTGTCTGAGGCTCCAGTATTTTATAACAAAAGGAAACGAACCTCTGAAACACTATTGCCACCCTTGAATTCAAGCATTATGCTCTCACAAAAACGTAAAAGATCAGAATTATACTTTGAATATGCACACTGCTAAATCATCTGGCAAATTTCACCCATAGTTCCAAGGAACAAATTACATAATGTTTTAACAACATAGTTCTACATAGTGTGTTTTCTTTGTTTCTCATTACTGGGGATTTTTTTTTGGTTGG